ATTAAAAAAAAATCGCCATAAACAAATTATACTTCAGCGAAGCAAGAATTAGCTGAAATAAGAAGAGGAAAGCACAACGTGTCTAATTCGTGAGCAAAACCGACTAAATTTAATTAGTAATTATTTGAGTAAACGAACCCTGGCCATGCCTTTTTATTTGGCGTATTTTGTTTGCTTAGTGGCTAAGCATTAGTATGTTTGTAACAGAAAATATAGGACTGTTGTTTTTTAAAAGCTATATTGGTGGAGTTAGTGGCTATAACACTAAAGATCGAAAGCGTAAAACTGAAATTGTTCCGTTGCTTTCGTGCAATAAAGATATCAACAATCATAAGTTTACTAATAAATTAACCGAGTCGAGCTGATTTAATGCCGAGCGGCGAAGTTCACGAAAATCGAAAGTTTGCGCACCATGTGACGATATCTAACCATCGCACAAAACTTGGATTAGGGCGGAGCGGAAGGTTTCAGCACCCTGGTGGGAGCGGCTCCCGTGTAAAAGACGGGGGTGTTCATCGGACATTTTGAAAAGAACACTACGTGATACCGAGACCCTGTTTTGAGGGCGTGGCTTGGAAGTGTTTTCCTCCTCTTAGAGGTACTGATTCTCACGAAGACATGATTGATCATCGCAGTTATACACACCACTTAAGCAGTTGTGAAATTAAAGCCTGAAAAAAAAATCAGGCCTTAAATTCACACCTGCTTAAGTTGTGTGTATAACTGCGATGATCAACCTTGTCTTGATCTCTTTCTCTGCAGTTCAAATATTTGATATTTGATATATTTATTTGCACTAATTCATACATAACACATAATCTCAAGTCATATTTATTCAGCTCAATACCCTAAAAGGTACTGCAAAAGCTCCCGCTGTGGACCTTTTGACACTAAGCACCCTAAGAGATACCAAACCGCGTTTTTAACCCCTGAAAGGTGTGACGAGCAACCCCGTCATTTTTATATGGGAGTTTCCCCCGCGGAGTGCAGCAGCAGGTGCAGAGCTCTGGAAGGAATTTCAGACCATTTTAAAGGCAAAGGACCGTGTCTAAAAGGTGAAAGAGGGTTGGGAAAGAAGGAGTCAGAGGTTATCTTTCGCAAAATTGGTTCGTTCGCGTTGGTTAGTACAAGTTGGGTCAGGTACCATACGCGTCATCCAGCGCGCGCTTGCGTTTTCCTCCCTCTCCCACACATGTTTTTTGACAAATCTTTGCAAAATCCTTCTCCAGGGGCCCGTTTGTCGAAGGCCCCGGAAACTTTTCGGGCCTGGAAAGCCATAGCAAAATCTCGAACATTACGATTACAGAGCTGTTTAATTCACATATGCCCAATATGAACAGAAGTTCCCTTCATACAAGAAGTTGTAGGCGTATACACTTCTCCGTTTTTAGATACAGATGAACTAAAAATGGCTTTACGGGCTCGAAAAGTTTCCGGGGCTTTCGAGAAGCGGGCCCCAGCTCCCAGTTGTTATTGCTGAATTTCACGTAAACGCTTCAGGCCTTATTTTCGACATTTTGTTTCCATGCGGAGATCAGCGACATCGGACACATAAGAAAAACTGCGCACCGGGGAGGGGTTTGCAAAGAATTGTCGTGTCCAAAATTAAAAAAAGCATGTGTGGGAGAGGGAGGGGAGTGCGAGCGCGCGTTGGATGACTTGTTTGGGATTAGGTAACGGTACGATCACGTTGCAAAAAGCGATTTGAGAAAAAGCTTTGCAAAAGAAGCTAAAATTCTCCGACCGTCGTAAAATTATTCGAGAACAAGTTCGGCAAAATTTTAAATAAATCTTACGAGTTCGTTTTGGCTGGTAGCTGGCAAATTTAGAGAGTGGGCGAATTTTTGCATTGCGTTCAAAATGTCTGGTGTGGCTCACTTGCCTCCCTTGTCAATACAGNTAAATAAATCTTACGAGTTCGTTTTGGCTGGTAGCTGGCAAATTTAGAGAGTGGGCGAATTTTTGCATTGCGTTCAAAATGTCTGGTGTGGCTCACTTGCCTCCCTTGTCAATACAGTCCAAAATTATAGTCAGCAAAATACTGTAAATAAAACTGGCCCCTATTGACCAGTTACCTCTATTAAGCGTCCGCGGCCACCATTTGGTCGTTCCGGTAAGGGTTTCTCTATTGTCTTTACCCCTATTAAGCGGCCAGCCAAAATTTAAAAACTTTGTTGGAAAGGGCGATGGCAAATAAGAGTCTGAAATTTAAGGTGACGAGTGATAATTCAAACACACGTCTATCATGATTGTATTATATGTAAACCAAAAATAATTGCACAGCGCGAAAAGGTTTAGGTACGAGTTTAGCGTTACAGTATTACGCAGGGCATGTAGGTAGCGGTGGTCTAGTAAAAGATGACAACAGGGGCAATGGTAAACTATTCATTCTTTTCATTTTGTAATTTAATCTCTTCCTATTCAACAAGATTGTGTGCTCCCTGTGGTTCCAAGCCTTACAGAGCCTTACGTATTAGGATAGAAATTGTCCTACCCTACCCCCTAAAATGGAAATGACAGCATTGCGTGACGAACAAACAAGGAACCGCTGCCAGCAAGGATTCCAATAGCAATAGATCAAACGATGATCAAACGTAATATTTTGGGTAGTGCAAAGCAAGCAGCTATCTACAACTGACTTAGCCGTTTTTGACTTAGATGCAGAGGTGATCATATGTGTTGAAAGAGGGTCATAGATGTATGGTATTCGACCATTAAATGAGGTGACAGTTGGCAATGTACATCGGACGTTGTGTAAACACAAGCAAACTTCTGCTTTATGTGCGACGAATGGTGACAGAAACACGTCAAATCGGCTTTGGACCTGCCTTTTACAGCAAATGAGGCTAGAATATTTCGAAATTATCAGCTCTGTGTCTATTTCAACTTTTAAAACAGGTCAAGTCATGTGGCGCATGCTTAAATATACGTCTAACCCGTAAATTGAAATTTGACGACGGATGGTCAAATATTTGCATTTTTAACGCACTTTGAAAAGCTCTCGCGCCGCTCACAATCATTTGTCCAAAGAAATTTTTACAGGAATCTGAAGACCATCCTTCTGCGATTCAACCACCAGAAGCTT